TGTTTAGTTCTTCCTTTAGCAATTTTGTTTTTATGATCAGTTTAAAAATATAACATGCACAACGAGGGAGCAAGAGGAACCTGCATATAAAATTTGAGAAAGAAGCCTCCAATACTTCCTGGGTAATATCACTAACACACCTTAACTGTCAAACTTTAAGATGGCTGCCTGTCTGCCATTCCGTTTATTTGATCATTCTCAAATTTGAACATGTACAACTACAGACCTAGGGGAACCTACAAAGCAAACTTCGGAAAGATCCCTCCAGTACTTCCTGAGAAATAGTGATAACAAACCTTTAATGTCACAATCAAAGATGGTGGACTGTCGGCTATTTGGTTTATCTGATCATTCTCAATATTAAACACGCACAACTACTGATCTAGAGGAGCCTACATAACAAATTTGGGAAAGTTCCCTCCAGGTCTTCCTGAGAAATAGTGATAAAAAAAACCTTCAATGTCAAAATCCAAGATGGCTACCTGGCGGCCATTTTATTTATCCGACCAGTCTAGAAAATTACACTGCACAACTAGGACCAAGGGGAAATCTACATATACAATTTAAGAAAGATCACTCTAGTACTTCCTGAGAAATAGCGATAACAAGAATTGTTTAAAGACGGACGCAGGGCGATTTGAATAGCCCACCATCAGATGATGTTGGGCTAAAATTATTTGCAGTGTAAAAAGTGTTGATGTTGAGATTGATGAAAACGACTGATTGCTTTCGTTAAAGCTGGACTACAAAACACTGCATCAACAAATATTAACCTACTATAACACAGCGTCAGCACGCAAAGTGTACCACATCGTAAGCATACAATGCCAAAGTAAACAAAGCGTCAGCACACATGAAGAGTACCACATCGTAAGCATACAATGCCAAAGTAAACACAGCGTCAGCAACCATAAAGAGTACCACATCGTCAGCATACAATGCCAAAGTAAACACAGTTTCAACACATAATAACCAACAATAACACAGCGTAAACACACATAACGAGTACAACATCGTCAGCATACAATGCCAAAGTAAACACAGCGTCAGCACACTTTGTACGACATCGTCAGCACACATTGTACCACATCGTCAGCATACAGTTCCAAAGTAAACACATCGTCAGCATACAATAACAAACCATACCACAACGTCAACTCACAAAACGTGTACCACAACGTCAACATATACTACCAAAGAAAACACAGCGTCAGCACACATAACGAACTTATACAACAGCATCAACACAAAGCAAGTGTACCACATCGTCAGCATACAATAACAAACCATACCACGTCGTCAGCATACAATAACAAAGTAAACACAGCGTCAGCACACATAACGAGTACTACAGCGTCAGCACACATGACCAATTATACCACAGCGTCGACACAAAGAAAGAGTACCACATTGTCAGCATACATTGCCAAAGTAAACAGAGTGTCAGCACACATAAAGAGTACCACATCCGTGATCGTCAGCATACAATGTCAATGTAGACACAGCGTCAACACACAGTGGCTATCTTTACCACAGCATCAACAGATAAGGACGAAAACTGACTTCACAATTAACGCAAAGTCAATAACAGAACATCTTATAACCCACATAAATCAAAGTATTTATGTATTCAAGAAAGTCATTTACTACTTAATTGCTGTGTTGTCCAGAGTGAATTTCACTCTGGGAACAACTAAACACTTCAAATCTCAAAACGGAGTTAAAGTTAAAGTAGAGTACGAGAATAACAACGACCAGGGACTTTTTAGATATGGTGCCATACCCATTATATACTCGTCGCCTGGATTTTGTAATTGTAAACACTTTATCTGCAGATGGAGGGGCATTTTGTAATTGTAAACACTTAGCCTTGAGATGGAGGGGGCATTTTGGAATTTTAAACACTAAATATGGACAACCAATGTATATTTTGGAATTACTGACATCTCAGGTAGTTCGTGCTTTGAATTTTAAGGGATGAGAGATAAATCGATAACAACCTGTGGCCCCATATATACATTTACATACTAAAAATGCACATTTCATCAATACATACAAAATATTATAAATTTTGTATGCATATTTATTCGTATAAATAATCTTGCTATACACCAATTACTAATGCTGCATACAGAATCGTGTTGGTCAACGGCGCTGTTGCATGGATATTCCCTAGGCTACTTTAAATAATTAATTCTGTCATTGAACTTCTTTCAGATGCGGTTCATGTGCAATATGAACGCCAACAGCATTACAGATCAATGAAACATGAACCGCGTTAGTTTAATGCTTAACCACCATACACTGCATTCTCTATTACTAGACACGATGCGTCGTAGATGTAAATATATGTATCTGTTATCGCCATGTTTGGCAATATTAGAAAAATAATACAAGGCTAATCATAAATGAACAAACATTGACTTTAATACCTGCATAATTAATGTAAAGTTTTAATAACAACGATAGGTAAATCACATTGACATATAAACATTGTATATACACATTGTATTTATAACACAACGCTGCTTTAAAATGGAATTCAATGCCTGCATATTACATCTGATTGCCAACATATATGTAAGGGTACTGGTGTAATCTGAATTCAGGTATATGCGACATACTGACTACACTAGAAGTAACCAACACAAGTATGAACTAACTTTGCAGATCGACAAAGTAGTAACTCTTAACAAGTACATTATTATAACATTCGAGGTTTTGATTTCGTTGCAAAGGTTCATGTTGTAAACTGCAAATGTTAAGTCCTTTTAAAAATATTTATTTTTTTATAAAAAATGTGAAAATAAAGTGTTCTAATCGATTATCTCATAATGTATTTTATAAAATTATCGCCCTTGTTAAAGGTTAACACTTTTTGTTTCCATGAGATAAATCGCGTTTCATGACGACGTGTTATTTACCCCTCATCAATATGATCTTATGAGATACCATTTTATAAATATGAGGTTAAGTTTAATGCAATGACTACCATACATATCCTATCTTCTTCATGCAATTAAGTTGCATTTGTGTAATTGCAATTCATACATGTATATCAATATTATTTACGAACTATATCAGAGGTTTCCAACAAAAATACGAACTATATTTGTAAATCGACAATTAACTTTTCTACTTGCTACACAGAATAAGCTCTCAACATGTGTATCATAATTACATTAGAGGTTTTAATTACGTGCCAAAGCTCATGCTCTAAAATGCATATCTTTAGTCCTTAAACAATTAAATATAAGAAAAAAAAGTTTTCTAAATGATACCTCATAGCGTTTGTATACGTAATGCTGATAACATTTTTCGAATCGTACATAAATTAAACAAAGATCAATATAAAGACATAGGAATTAACTTCTGGTTTACACAAAAACGACAAATAATTGTAGTATGGCTTGTAAAATTATTCTGTGACAAAGTGTTCTGCATAATAAGAAACAGATTATATAAATCAGCACGTATTTGTAATACAATTGACAAGGCACACAATGAACTGCTCTTGCAAACAGCATGCAGTCGTACCGTAACTATCAGGTAAAACAGCACCGCCGCAAATATTCTTTTCTCATAGTTTTGCAACACTGAAGAATGTTCAGTCTTATATTGCTTAATCAGCAGTTAACTATTTGAATAGTATCTTATATAGAGGTAATTTGGGACAAATGAAGACTAGCGGATAACAACATGCGCATCCCAAAACAAATGCTGCGACACATTAAATAACTTATTGGACTTGATCACGAATCATCAACATCATGTTTGTATAAAATTAAAAGATGTTTCCATTGATACAATGAATAACAAGGTTTATTGCATCAGTTGGCAGTACATTAAAACAAACACCACAGGGAACGATGAGGTGCGATAAACAGCAGCTGTTTTTAAGGATGAAGTGCGGTAGGTCTATTTATCACTTCCTCAGAAACAATCTAGAGAGGAGCGGGTTCTGTAAACAGCAGATATTGGATCGGAATAAAGTGCGAATAATTCATCACTTTTAAACGTACAACCTTGAGAAAAAAGATGCAAAAGTCAGACGTTGGATCTGGGTATGGTATCCACATCTTTTTGCGGGACAAACACTAGAGAGTGCACGGTCAGCGGAAGATACTAGATCAGGATAGGGCGCAGTAGCGTCACTAAAAGGAAGGAACGTGACCTGACAACGCCGAGGCTAACAGTGACGACCCACGCCGAGGCTAATAGGTACGACCCACGCCGAGACTACAAGTGACGACCCACGCAGAGGCTAACAGTGACGACCCACGCAGAGGCTAACAGTGACAACCCACGCCGTGACTACCAGTGACGACTCACGCAGAGGCTAACAGTGACGACCCACGCCGAGGCTATCAGTGACAACCCACGCAGAGGCTACCAGTGACGACTCACGCAGAGGCTAACAGTGACGACCCACGCAGAGGCTAACAGGGACAACCCACACAGAGGCTAACAGTGACAACCCACGCAGAGACTAACAGTGACGACCCACGCAGAGGCTAACAGGGACAACCCACACAGAGGCTAACAGTGACAACCCACGCAGAGACTACCAGGGACGACCCACGCAGAGGCTAACAGTGACGACCCACGCCGAGGCTAATAGGTACGACACACGCCGAGAGTACAAGTGACGACCCACGCAGAGGCTAACAGAGACGACCCACGCAGAGGCTAACAGTGACAACCCACGCCGAGACTATCAGTGACGACCCACGCAGAGGCTAACAGTGACGACCAGCACAGAGGCTAACAGTGACGACCCACGCAGAGGCTAACAGTGACAAACCACACAGTGACAACGCACGCAGAGACTATCAGTGACAACCCACGCAGTGACAACCCACGCAGAGACTATCAGTGACGACTCCCGCAGAGGCTAACAGTGTCGACCCACGCAGATATTACCTGTGCCAACCCACGCCGAGACTATCAATGACGACCCACGCAGAGGCCAACAGTGACAACCCACTCCGAGACTATCAGTGACAACCCACGCCGAGACTATCAATGACGACCCACGCAGAGGCTAACAGTGACGACCCACACAGAGACTACCAGTGACGACCCACGCAGAGACTACCAGTGACGACCCACGCAGAGGCTAACAGTGACGACCCGCACAGAGGCTAACAGTGACGACCCACGCAGAGACTAACAGTGACGACCCACACAGAGGCTAACAGTGGCAACCCACGCCGAGACTATCAGTGACGACCCACGAAGAGACTAACAGTGCTAACCCACGCCGAGACTATCAGTGACGACCCACGCAGAGGCTAACAGTGACAACCCACGCCGAGACTATCAGTGACGACCCACGCAGAGACTAACAGTGCTAACCCACGCCGAGACTATCAGTGACGACCCACGCAGAGGCTAACAGTGACGACCCACACAGAGGCTAACAGTGACGACCCATGCAGAGACTAACAGTGACAACCACGCCGTGACTACCAGTGACAACCCACGCAGAGGCTAACAGTGCATGGAAGTATTTAATCTTATCAATGACGACAGACGACAAAAATAAATGTTTTCAACGGAATAAATCTTTCTGCATAATCATAAAACCTGCATTTTGTCGGTAATTAACCATTTTCTTGATAAGCGAGATAAATTGATATCAAAGTCAGCATCAGCCTCAAATATCCAGGACAGAAATAGACTCACAAGAGGCACATCACCATGACATCACTTTCCCGGTGTAGTCGACGAGCGTACCAGTGGTTTCCTCAGACATACTGGAGAAGACGTTAAGCATACCCTGGACGCTCTCGGTCGCCGACAGTGGAGCCGCCTTGCCTCCCATATCGGTGCGGACCCATCCGGGATGGATGGCAACAGCAAGAATCCCGTCCGCCTTCAAATCAATACTCTGGTTTTTCGTCACCATGTTCAGCGCCGCCTGTATCAACGAAAAACATTAGCGTACTTAAAAGTCGTTATTAATAACCGTTCTTGTGTTCGTCACAATATTATTGTAATTGTAAAAAGAACAAAGTATTTCAAAATATTTTTTTACGAGAGTCTATTCGCGAAACTTCAAGATATGATAAATAAGAAAAAAAACACCATTATTTTACCTTTTTAAATCATTTTATACCTATATCCCCCTTTCATTTTACACGTTATCACTTGTATTTAAAAAAAACATACACGTGCTATTTTATATCTTAATCATTTCTTTAAAGAGACAAACACCGACGTTTTATACCAGTAACTTGTTGAATATGGTTCCTAAAATATTTAATTCAAAACTAATATTAAAAGATTTTAGTACGTAATATTCAAATATCATCGAGATTAAATATGAAATTTTTAATCTCGACGAACTTAAGTTATTTATTTAGCGTAGGTTAGTACCTTCGATGCCCGATACGGGTATAAGCCGCCTTGTTGGTTGTTCTCCACAGATCCAAGCACAGACGAAAGGTTGACCAGTGCAGCTTTGTGCCAGGACATTCCTTTGTCTGACGACTTCTGGGCCGCTAGCTTTAGCAGAGGCAATAACGCCTGTAAAAACATCAGTATTAGCAGTAACTAGTTCTTATCAGTTAAAGGACAAACCAGTATGTTTGGTGGTATGTGCAAACGAAGGAGGCTAAATGTTTACCCTGTTTGCTTGTAAAAGCATTGTTCAATATTTAAAAACAACCCGGGTTTCTTTTCAGTCGCTAGAAGACCAACATCACTCTGTAACGTGTGTCTGACCCAGATGTTTCTCTTTGTTGAAGTTTTTTTAGAATTCGTTCATTCTTCTTTTTGTCTGAAACTCATGGATCATCTAACAATACTGTCATAAAGCATTACCTTTCCGCTTTTTATCCCAGTGTTAAATTCTCATTGGTGACACTCCCGATACACAATGTTTCTGTATAACATTTTACTAGTGGTTGAGACAATATAGAATATTTACCATCATATGGCATCGCCACTATATAACCCTACCAAATTCAGTTGGCATTCATATAGGTTATGAATGCCACGGACCGATTGTTGACGTCATCATGATAATGACGTCATAATTTTTACGTTGCATACCACTGACCCTCCCCTGGCGATGGCTGATCTATTCATTGAACAAGCATACACGATACATACATTATATGAACTAAATTCTGAATAAGAATAAATGCACTTGGTTTTTTTTATGAGATGAACAGATTAAACAAGAGGCCATGGGCCTTAACGGTCACCTGATATATTTATACAGAGAGTTGATTTTGTTTTTAACATGAACAGAAATATTATTCAAAGTGACAAAAAACAATAAAACCACCTTACTCAATATCTAGCCCACAGATTTCAGACTAAAAAGTATTTGAAACTAGCATCTCTGATTCTAAACAAGGAAAATTAAGAAATATTAGCACACTGACTCCTTCGGGCCCCACACTACAGCCCTTGGGGTAGGACTGGCTAAAAATTATCAAAGTATCAAACTGTCAACTCAGGGTTATAATTCCAATCAAGTTATTAACAGGTAATATTGAAAGTATCATTTGCCATTATAAACCATAATAAATTTTGCCCCCCCCCCTCCTTCCCCAGGGGGTAAAAGCCATTCCAACTATGAAGAGTGTTTGATTCTACCATTTCTTTTAGAAGAAGATTTTTGAAATTTCAGTCAATTCAACCCTTTTTGGCCCAACCCATCAGCCCCTGGGGGTCGGTCAGGGCTAATATGTGCATACCATCAAACTTCTATCCAATACTAATAATGCTAACCCAAATTGAATTACTTCCGATGGAAATTAAACAAATGTTGGTCCAAAATGTGATTTCCCTATATAAACTATAGCAAAGTTTACCCCCTCCCCAGGGTTAAAGGGGCATCACGGTGAAGTAACCTTATTTTTTGTCTTTTTTTTCAAATACTACATCAATATATCAAGTGAGATTCCTTATGGAAAATTACGATCGGATTTGGCTGAAATAGATTCATAAAAATGATTAAATCTAAGAAAATCATCGGTATTTCTACCTGTCTGACCAACGTTTTGTTCAGGGATTTCCCTCTTCTAGCGCATGCGCATAGCACACCATTTCTTTGTAAACAAATTGACTGGTCGTGATGAGAAGTAAGCGAAAGAAAAGTGTTGTACCGTGTCAGCTACGAAACGAAAGGTTGCCAAATGGTCAAAAGATAGCGCAAGGAGTACGTTACGGAAGCATTATTGCAGGTGGGCAGTATTCAAAGGAGAACATAACTGCCGTAGCAGTTAGTACGGTGCATGTATTCTTCCGGATAGCCGGTTAAGCTGAAATGGAATCGACAGAAATGCTAGCGCTGTTTATGTTATGAATAAATATCTAAAACTATTAAGCTCGCTAGTATCTTTGTCTGAGTTTGAACACAGATGAACTTAGTTTAATATGTTAATGGGCATGTATT